AGAAGGAAATAGTCACTAATACCATGACAGAGAGGACCCAAACACTCCATTGTCAATATTGGACAGATCATCTAGGCAAAGAATCAGCAGAGAAACACAAAATCTAAAAAATACTCTAGACCAATTGGACTTGGAAGATATCTACAGAACATTCCATCCAAAACCTCAGAATATTCAATTTTCTCATCAGGACATGGATCATTCTCCAGGAGAGATCACATGTTAGGTCACAAATCAAGTCTCAACAAATTCAAAAAAATTGGAATTATCCCATGTATTTTTTCAGACCACAATGGATTAAAATTAGAAATTCTGCAAACTATAGAAACACATGGAAGTTAAACAGCGTTCTACTTAATGACATATGGGTCCAGGAAGAAATCAAGCAGAAAATCAAAAAATTTATTGAAACTAATGAAAACAATGATACATCATACCCAAACCTGTGGGATACTGCAAAAGCAGTACGAAGGGGGAAATTTATTGCATTAAATGCTTACTTCAGAAGAATGGAAAGATGGCAAGTGAACAACCTACTTCACCTTAAAGAAGTAGAAAAACAAGAACAATCCAAACCCAAAGTTAGCAGAGGAAAAGAAATCATTAAGATCAGAGCATAACTTAATGAAATTGAAACCCAAAAAATGATACAAAAGATCATTGAATCAAAAAGTTGCTTTTATGAAAAGATAAATAAAATTGACAAACCATTACCATGTCTAACTAAAAAAAGACAGAAGACCCAAATAACAAAAATTAGAAATGAAAAAGGTGATATTACAACCGATACCTCAGAAATACAAGGAATCATTAGAGACTACTATAAACAACTATATGTCAACAAATTTGAAAATCTGGAGGAAATTAATAAATTTCTGGACACATACAAACTACCAAAACTGAGCGAAGACGATGTAGAAAATCTGAACACACCAATAACAATAAAAGAGATTGAAGCTGTTATCAGAAGGCTCCCAACAAAGAAAAGCCCAGGACCAGATGGATTCACAGCAGAATTCTATCAAATATTCAAAGAGGAATTGACACCAATTCTCTACAAACTATTCCAATAGATTGAAACAGAGGCAAATCTCCCAAACTCATTCTATGAAGCAAACATCACCTGATACCAAAACCAGGTACAGATAAAACTAAAAAAGAAAACTACAGGCCAATATCCTTGATGAATATGGACACAAAAACCCTCAATAAAATACTAGCTAACACAGTACAGCAACATATACTCAAAATTATACACCATGTTCAAGTGGGATTCATCCCAGGGATGCAAGGTTGGTTCAGCATATGCAAATCAATAAATGTGATACACCATATCAATAAAATCAAACACAAGAACCATATGATCATCTCTATAGATGCTGAAAGAGCATTTGATAAAATTCAACACTCGTTCATGATAAAGACTCTTTACAAGTTAGGTATGAATGGAAAGTATCTCAATATAATTAAAGCCATATATGATAAACCCACCGCCAATATCATCCTGAATGGGGAAAAGATGAAAGCTTTTCCTTTAAGAGCAGGAACTAGACAGGGATGCCCACTCTCACCACTCCTATTCAACATAGTGTTGGAAGTACTAGCCAGAGAAATCAAAGAAGAAAAGGAAA